TAGTGTATAAGTCCTAAAAACAGCAAAAGCATAACAACTAAATCCTAGAAATGTCAGAGGCAATAGCCTAAGTCTGAGAGCAACAAAGCAACAACAAGTCAACCATATGTAACAGGAGGAGTATGTCGCAAACCAAAGGGTGGGATGGTCTCTGAGGGTGACAAATGCAACCTAGAGGTCGGAAACTCCTAAGGGCATCCACACATAGTGACAGGGGGGAACACATGTCATCAGGCTCAATGAGGGTAGGGAAGTGGGAGCGAACAGAACCAATGACCCTAACAGATAGACCATCAGGGCGAGTAATGCTCGACTAAAGGGTGGACCACTATGGAGGGTCGACCATGCAAGGGAACAAGGGAGCCTGGTATACTGGGCGCACCTAGATGAAGCATGCTGGGCTGCCTAACTAGGGCGTGAGGGCCGGCAAAGGGTAAAAAGGTGATGGTTAAGGGAATCATGCAAGTGACTCCTAAAGTGAGGGAAGTCGGAGCTAGATCCGTAAGCTGGAAAGCCAGGGCAACACTACGGTCCCGATGCCTATGCGTATACCAAGGGAGAGCCCAACTAAGAGGAACCCGGGTAAAGGGAGACCATCATGCGACACAAGCAGGGTACGGTACATGGTAAAGTGGTAAGGGAGTGAAGACGTCTGAAGTAGGTAGAGCTGATATTGACGAAGTCCATGAAGCTGCCGATGACGTCCACGATGAGAAGTCTGGAATATCGTGGAGGAAGAGCCGCAACGTCGACGAGCTGAAGTAGCAAAACTGGAGTGGATGAAGTACTGAGAAGTCAAGAACGTGGGAAGGTAAGTCAGAGTCAATTGTCGTATCGAGCAGGACGACGACGAGTGCGCTGTGGACGCTCAGAAGCATCCGGCTGCGGCTGAAGGTCTGACTCAGATGTAGCAGGCTCGACTTCAGCGGTCTCCTCAGTTGGGGGAGAAGGAAGAGGGTCAGTGGGCTGAGAAGGAGCAGTGAACCCAGCACGACGAGGACGGTCATAGGCGCTCACCAACATGCGAGCGTGCTGCAAGTGCTCGAGGGGCTCCCAGGTGACCTCCTCATCAGGGTAACCCTTCCAACGTACGAGATACTCGACGTGGGGAAGGTTGTCGTCGGTAACTCGGCGACCAATGATGTCTGAAACGAGGAACTCCTCGTGGTCGTCCACCATGATGGGTGGAGGGCGCTCGTAGGGTCGTCCAACGAAACGCTCAGACGGTCTGCGGTAAGGACGCAGTAAAGAGACGTGGTAGACATCATGCACACGAGCTTGGCGTAGGTAGTCGGGCAGCTTCACACGAAAGTTGACCGGGCTAGATGCCGTATCAGAACCAACGGACTGGAGAATGCGGCATGGTCCAAAGAAGCGACGCCGAAACTTGCGAAGCGTGTCCGCTTCGAGCTGTAAGTGGCGGGTCTCGATAAGCACATCATCACTGACTTTGAATGGATGATTCATCCTCGATCGGTTCGCACGTGCGGCCATGCGAGTCTAGGAAACGACTATGTGCTCATGTGCGGTCTTCATGATCAACATCATGTGTGCAACCCAATCATCCAGCGCGGGACAACTCGTGTCGGGGTGCATCTGTGACGGTCGAAGGAAGTCCGCGGGAACACGAGGGTGATAGCCGAGGTCGCAATAGTAAGGCGACACCCTTGTGGTTGGCGAGACAACGTGGTTGTAGGTTAATTCGCGTGGGCAAGATGGAGATCTCACTGCTGGTCGTCACGAACAATCTTTCGGAGAATATCTCCGAGAGTCCTGTTTGTGATCTCGGTCTGACCATCAGTCTGAGGATGGTAAGACGATGAGAAGCGGAGCTGAGTGCCATATACCTCGTGGAGTCGTCGCCAGAATCGGCTAGTTAAGCGCGGGTCACGGTCAGATATGATGCTCAGAGGTAAGCCGTGGTCACGCACGACTCGGTCAAACACGATGTCGGCGACCTCACGTGCACTGATGGCATAGCGGCATGGAACAACGCGTGCACGCTTCGTGAAGCGGTCGACGACGACCAGGATAGCATCATGACCGCGAGGTGTCAAAGGACGAAGAGGACCGATAAAGTCCATCGAGATGGACTCCCAACAACCCTCAGGGATAGGAAGAGGCTGGAGTAAACCATAAGGCAGGTGGTTCGCACTGTTCACCTCCTAACAGGTGGGACACTCTGCGACGTAGTCCTTCACAAAGTCCTTGCGCTTCGGCCAGACGTACAGGCGGCTCACATGAGCCAACGTCTTGTGGAAACCCATATGATTGGCAGCTGCCTGGTCATGGAACTCTGCTACTGCTCGGACACGTAGCTGTCCAGTGGAGGGAACGCAAATACAGGGCTCTCTAGTGCCCTGTGAACCGTGCATGTACACAAAACCGTTGTCCCCGAGAGAGAAGTTCGGGACGGGCTTGCCACTCCGAAGGGTCACGTGGATGTCGCGATAGTCGGGGCAGTGTCGGTACTGAGTGCGAAACTCGACGATCACCGAGTGGTGGACGGTGGTGATGGAGATGAAAGAGAGCTGGATCTGCTCCTGGTCGTGGTCAGGGCGCCGGGATAATGCATCTGCGACCCGATTAGTCTCACCCTTAATGTGCTCAGTGGTAAAACTAAACTCGGATAGGTCGCGCCACCAGCGAGCATGTCGAGGAGTGCGCATCGGTTTTGTCAGAAAAGCCTGGATAACAGAGTTGTCCGTGCGCACCGTGAATGGTGCTCCGTACAGGTAGTGACGCTAGTGCCGAGCAACATAAACTGCTGCCAGAACTTCACGTTCATCAGCGGTGTAGTTTATCTCGAAGGGCAGGAGCTGACGGGAGTAGAAGGCTATCAGACAATCACCTGAGCGAGACTCGACAGTGTCGCCCTCGACGATGGTAGGAAAATAGGCAATAGAAGGCTCGTCAGTAGCTGGACGAGTAGGCGTCAGTCGGGAAGCAGTGGTAGGGGTAGGTGGTGGGAAGCGAGTGATACGAGTATGAGGGGAATCAGGAGAGGAGGGGAAGATCTGAGAAAGCATTGCTCCTACAGCAAAGTCAGACGCATCGGTGGTAAGGATAAAAGGGCGATCAAAATCGGGTAGGTGAAGAACCGGTGCGCATGTCACCGCCTTCTTGAGGGCGTGGAAAGCGTCCTCGTGGAGGGGTGTCCAAGCCCAGGGTGGGTTCTTCCGGAGGAGGGTGGAGGTAAGGACGTAGGAACACCTAGCGTATCCCTGGATGAAATTACTATAGTAGCTGGTAAGGCCTAGGAAGCTGCGAAGCTGCTTGGCAGATGTGGGAACAGGCCACTTCGCAATAGCAATGATCTTCGCGTCGTCCATGTGGAGACCCTGGTCAGACACGTTGTGTCCTTAGAAATCCACTTTGTGCTAGGCAAAGCGGCACTTGCTCAGCTTGGCATAGAAGCCATGTCTGAGCAAGCGGTCAAGGACGTCGCGGAGGTGTCTGTGGTGCTCCTCAAGGGTACGATTGTAGACCAGGATATCGTCGAGGTAGACGAGAACGTACTGCTCCAGGATGTCCCTGAAGATGTCGTTCATCGCCCTCTGGAAGGTAGCGGGTGTGTTGGTGAGGCCGAATGGCATCACCGTGAACTCGTAGTGGCCGAAGCGCGATCAGAACGCTGTCTTCGGCTGGTCGGCTGCTGCGACGCGGATCTGATGGTAACCGCTACGAAGATCAATCTTCGTAAAGAAGTGGTTGCTTGCTAGGCGGTCGAACAACTCGTCGGAACGAGGCATGGGGTAACTGCTCTTGACCGTGTAGCGGTTGAGGCCGCAATAGTCGATGCAGAGACGGAGAGTTCCATCCGTTTTACGAGCAAAGAAGACGAGTGCGCCGCACGGGGAGTTGCTAGGTTTAATGAAACCCAGTCTCAAGAGTTCCTCAAGCTGACGCTTGAGTTCGGTGGCCTCAGGGATCGAGAGTCTGTAGGGTACCTAGTTGTGAACATGATAATCAGGTACGAGCTGGATAGAGTGTTTGACGTCACGCATCGGTGGGATGCAGGCGTACGAGAACGACGATGGGAAAACGTCGTGGTACTCTCGAATGAAGTCACAGACTGCGGGCTCTAGGTCGACCGTATATCGTGCGAGTTCCTCAGCGTCAGCGTTTGCGCGCGACGGTGGGGTGGACTCGACGGACGGCGGAGGGACGGAAGTAGAGATGGGAGCCATGGAAATAGAAGGAGGACCTGGTTCCAGAGGGATGAGCTCTGCGTCGGGACAAGGTGGATCATAGTGTAAGAGATCCGTCACGTTCACCATAAAGAAGGTGACGTCGTCCTGTCGGATGAAGTGGGCGAACAGCCGAGGCGAGGTGACAGTGATAGAAGGAGATGGTGTGGGCACGGAACGCTTCGGGGGAGGAGGATCGGGGCGTGGTGTCGCAGTGGTACCTATGAAAGGTACACGATACGTCTGTCCACACTTCATTTTGAGAATGAGAGTGTTGGTCGCCCAATCGGCCTCGGTGCTGCGGAACCGATGAGACCACGGAGTGCCGAGAATGAAGTCGTACCCCGTCTCAATCACATCAAAATGTGCAGAGGAGTGGTGGTGATGAGACACCGGGGGACGATCAGTCGGCTCGAGAGTGAGGAAGAAAGGGAGGTCGGTGACTGTCTGATCGAAGAAGCGCTGGGTCTTGTCATCATCTAGGGTGACAGTGATGGGAGTCGGAGACCCGGTCGTGGGTAAACGGGCTTCTTTCACCACACGTGGGTGAATGAAGTCGCCCTGAGAACCGGAATCCCACAGCGCTGAGTACACCCTCGTGGAGGTCCCCAGTCATACAGGGATGATCAGGAGGGTGCGATCAGGGTCAGAGAGGATGGTGAGAAGGCGATGCAGTGCAGCGACATGGAGAGTGAGTCGCTCGTGACGAGCCTGGAGCATGCTCAAGTCCATAAGAGAGGACACAATGTCCTCGCGAGTAGCGAGTTGCTCGCTGCAACGGGTTGAGCGAATGGCACGACGTGTCGGTAGTCGCGGCGGGGAAAGAAGAGAGATGGTGGTCTGCGGAGGTGCAGACGGTACTGTGACAGAGGAATGAGTACACTCTGTCGGATCCTGCGAGACCTCAACTCCAGTAGCGAGAGGGGCAAACCGCGACGGGGATGTTGGGAAACCGACTACTGAGGAGAGAGCAGGTGTACAATGCATCGTGGCTAAGAGCCGCCGTGGGGATGCGAGGCGCCGGGGGGGGACGGAGCACGACGCTGGCGGGAGAGGTCAGCATAGTGGCGGTCAAGGGCGGTAGTGTAAGGGCACCGCGAGGAGGTATGACAGTCCAAGCGGCAGCACAAACACCCACGCCAGCCCAAAATAGCCGCGCGCTCCTCAACAGAAAGGACACCGCGAGGAGGGACAAAGCCCTGAGGAAGATCCTGCTGAGGGACCTCGGGGGGCGGCGCGCCAACGTGACCGGGGGGGCTGCGTGCCCGGGAGAGGGCGGAGAGGATGAGCTGGAGGCGCTCAGCCATAGGAAGAGTAGAGTCCTCCAAGTGGTGGTGGACGGCCTCGCCGAGGTCGAGGTCGTCGTTATGGTCACCCTCTGGCGACAGCGGGGCACCAACGTCCTGCTCACCATACTCGAGCTCGCTGAAGTGGCGCGAGAAGTGGCGGCCCTGCTGCACGAAACGGAGGGGGCGACCGCGGAAAGGGGAACTGTGCTGGGAAGTGTCGTGAGAGGAGGAGGCATAGCCTGTGCACTGAGGCTGGGAGGAGGAGGCGGCGTGAAGACGGGCCCGCATCCGCTGATGGTCCCTGGCGGCCTCGTAAGCCTGCGGGGCCGATGTGAACTCGTACCGCCATAGCTCGGAGCGGTACTCGAGCGGAAGGCTGGCCAAGAAACGATCGATAAGGGCAGCCTCGGGGAGGAACGCCACGTTGTTGGAGGGCGCGGTGTGTCGGCCCTTCTCTGCGTACCAAGTCCCTACTTGGTACCAACCCTTGTTTCGACGTTGTAGTCTGATCCCAGTACCCAGGTTGTACCTTGATGTGGACCGGCCCTGTTGGTGCCTGCCTTGGCAAAAGGTGCGCCACGGGGCTTTCCATTGGTCCACGCGGGCTCGGCGCCCTGTTGTACAGCAGAGCACTACCGGCCTGTGGCCGCAGTAGCCGTCGGGCTCGCCCTAGGACGCGAAGATGAAGAGATCGGCACAGTCATTTCTATTGTGAGCCGATCACGCCCTAACCAGGTTATGGGTTAGGTGCGCACGATAGATGTCGTTGTCGGGCAGAAAAGGACCAAGGAGAGGGAAGAAAAAGGAAAGATAATATGGGAGAAAAAAAATAAAAAATAACCCGTCAAAGTCTATGCAAGGGCCTAAGCTCCTGCTTTAATTCGGGGTTGGCCGGCGGTCAAATTTCCTAGTCGCGGCAGCTGTCGGATAGCCTGGCCTGCTCGAAGTTGAAGGGACTGTCTGGTCCAGGTGGTTGTGATCCGGGCCAGGTGCGGGGATGTGGTAGCGATAACCCGTGCGAACGTCTGGACCAAGTGCTGGACTCCAGTAGCTGTATTCTGGGGTACAAGAGAATTCTGAGGCACTATGTTTTTTTTTTTTTTTTTTTTTTTTTTTTTCCTTTTTCTTTGGTATTTTTTTTTTTATTACTATTATTTTTTTGTTGTTATTATTGCTACTGCCGAGTCTTTTTCTGATTTCCTTCGGTCCTTATCACTTCGCGGGAAGGCCAACGGTTCGAATTTCGAGCGTGGCTGCAGCCTGTGGCCCAGACTGGTTTGGCCTCTCACTTTTCGGACCGATGGTTGGGAGGCTTGATCGGGCGCCGCGAGGTAGGACCCCAAAAGAAGGGCGACCCTCGGCCACATCGGTGGGAAGCCCATCACCCCCTATAGGAGGTCATGAACCCCCTCCTTGCCATCGGACACGGGTACCCATCAGAGATAGTCTGAGGGTGCCTTTTGAAGGAGAAAATGCGGTGGAGGTATCTCGTTATGGGACCACGGCTTCGAGCCTGTGGTCACTTTGCGATTAAAAGAAAACGGCTAGTGGCCGAAAGTTGGGGCAGGCACTGTGACCGTTGGTGTTTTGCTTCACGTTGCTCTTCTCTGTGTATTTTAATTTATTTTAATTTATTTTATTAATTTACGAATTGTAGATTGTTAGAACATAGAACTCTGAGAGTTATCTCGCATTTAGAAAACAGGGATCTTGGGCTATAAAGAGAAGAGGGGGATGGAGTTGCACGGTGTGCATGAGGTGTGCCCACTCCACTCTAAGAAGTTGGGACGTTGTTCCCTGCGCTCTGCCGGTCTTGTGAGTGTGCATTCTAGTGGGTGACTTACTATTCTGGGGGGGCAGATTTGTGTTGTGCAAAGTCTACTGAGAAAAACCTAGCTATGGCACTGCACGGCTATAGGCCAGGTTACTGGTACCACCAGGCTCGGTGGAAACCCCTGTCTGGGGAAGGGCCTTGGATCACGGTAATACTTAACTACCATGGAGGAGATGAACTGTGACTGAAAATTAACGTTGAGGGGGCTAAGGAGGTGGAAATGCGGACTAACCCGAAACTGCAGGACGCGATTACGGAGAAAAGAGATCGTGCGGAGAGCCGCTGCAGGAGGGACAGAGTGACGACAAGAATGCAGGTAACGGTCTCGTATCATAAGACCGGGACCTCAATGGACACAGTGGACAGGAAACAAGCCCATCTAGACAGGGACTCAGGTGGGGAGAGTGAGATGAGCGAGGCAGGTGACCGGGAGACCGACCTTCGGTCCTGGAACAAGCCAGGCCAGGTCCGCAAGAACCACCCGCTGGCACGACCTGTGGATGACGGGGCCGAGACGAGCTCGCGGCAATGGAGTCCCAGAGGACGTGGGACAGGAAAGGCAAGGGAAAAAGGAAAGGGTGTGTGAGTGATCGACATACATGACACACGGGCAACACGTGGCAGTCCGGGGAAGCGAAAAGAGGTCAACGAAAGGGGGAGACTGTGTGGATGAACGGGACGCGATCTTGCTAGATACAGTTGATGTCAACCACTGACTCCACGTTCATGCGCTGCGTTTTTGTGTCCACTGAACCACAGTGAGTCTTCGTGCTGCGGTGGGGAATTAGGAGAAAAGGTGTGTGTGAGAGAAGAGAGAGACTCAGAGGCTAGCTCGGGTAAGCACGAGGGTTGAGTCACGAGATGGTTATACGTGGGAGGCGAGCTACGCAGTACGTGTGTATGCCTGCGAGAAAAGGCGAGGAAGTCAAAAGTCAGTTCCAAGAGAAGAGATGGTAGTGAAGCTTGCGTGCTTGCGGAACATGGAGAAAGTCGGCGCTTCCACATAGAGTAGTTGACGTCATCATTACTTGGTTTTGGAGTAGGGAAAGCTCCGTCCTCTCAAGGACCCGAGCTGTCACTTTAGGATAGCCTAAGAGCTGTTAGGGAAGGCACGTGACGATCAGCGCGTCTTCCAAGAACAGTTCCCTTATGATGCCGCAGAAACAGGCCCCCTCACTACTGTGATCGGTGCATGCATGATCTGCTCGGCCAAGAACTAGCTGCTGAGAGAGTCTCATTTCTTTGAAGGCGATTTCACTTACCGGTTGGCGCGCCCGCTCTGACAACCACCTGTCTCGCTACCTCCGAGTGACTTTCAACTTGTAACGGGTACTTCTATCAAAAGTCATTGACGCGCTTCTTTGTAGCTGCCTTGGCCGAACCCTCAGATAAGATGGTGGCCATTGCAAGATAATTCCTTTTGTTTTTAT